CACATTCATATATATATATATATATATATCCATACATGGACACATGTATATGAACAAAGCATGCATGCATATACACTATGTACATATACTGCATACACATGTATGTATGCATTTTTACAAGTATATTACTATAAATGTACATACCCATGCATATATTCAGTTATGCATAAGCACATACACATACATGCATATACTTATATGCATATGCGGACATCGATTATATGTTTATATATTCATGAATATAATTTATAAGAATAAAACAGATAAATAAGACTAACTTGTTAGAAAATCACTCTATATCAAATAAGTAAAGAAAGTTTTTATATTAACAAAACTGCACACTAAGACCTGAGAGTGGGACGTGCACAGGCAGATGGAACAGTTCTGGTGAAAGGCAGCAGCTGTTCCTATTAAAGATAAGGAACACAGCAAAATAAGAAACCTATTTAACAATAAAGAAATTTACACACAAAATGGCAAATATTTTGCTGCAGGGTAAAATGATAAAATCATTTCAATCCAGTGACAAGTCTGAGCAGATCACTCTCACCACTGTTATCATAAAGATTCTGCAGAAAGCTCATTTAGATTGACAGAAGAACCAGGCAACAAATTTAAAATGCACAAAACAGCAAGTTCTGAAAACCAAAACCATAGAAAAGGTTGTTTAAGCAAACCAACGGGGAAGAGCAAACAAAAAATAAAATTAAGATAATTACATTTACATTCACTAACCTATCAAAAAAGAGCTATGATCCCAATTATTGGTGAAAATTTTAAGAAATGGATACTCATATGATTGTTCATGGAAATATAAAGTTTTCCATTTCAAAAATAAATATAACATTTTAAAAATTTGAACATATATTTTTAGCTGTTTTCACTTTTGAAATTCTATAAGAAAGTAGATAATGGAAGTACAAGCAATGATACATTATCTAAAGTATAGCTGCACAAATTTTGGCATTTACACTAGAAACTCAAAGGAGATATATTTTTATTTGGAATGACTGAGATAAAGGTACTCAAGGTATTACCCAGACTTAACTAAATCACGTAATGCAACTGTTTTAGAGCATAACAACAACAACAACAAAACCCTCAGCATACAATTTTTCAATCATTTCCAGTTTCAATGAGGAGAAATACAAAATTCATGGGTAAAATTCTCAGAAAATAGGAGGAATGTTATAAAAACGAAGTCTTCAACACCCAGATTTTCCCTACTTTGTTATCCCCATAAACTCTTAGCACTATAAATGTGAGAAAAAGAACAGGTCCAAGGTTTTATGTCTTTTCTATTTATAAATAATAATGAAATAGTAGTTCCTTTATAGGATTGGGAGATTGGCTCCAGACCTGGATACGAAAATCTGAATGTCCAAGTCCCTTACATAAAATGGTATAGCATGCACATATTCTCCTGCATATTTTAAATCATGCTTAGATGACTTATAATAGCTACACAATGTAAATTCTATATAAACAGTTATGTCTTGGTTACTTTTCTCTCACTGCTGAGACAAAATGCCTAACATACAAAATTAGGGAAGGAAAGATTATTTAGCTCACAGTTTATAGAGGTTTCAGTCCATAAATCAGTTGGTTCCAAGGTAGAGTGGCACATGGCAGAGGGCAAAATCTCATGGTGATGGAAAATAGCACAAGCAATAAGAGCAAAATGGAAAGAGCATGGAGCAAAGACTGGTCCCTTATATTGTATATAAGCCACACCCACTTGGCTGTGACACTCACACACACAGTCCCAGCATGGACCACGAGTCAATCACAAACTCTAGGAGCCCAACTGCGTGACTGCATGAGGCTTTGGGGGGACACCCAGACACAAACCCTAACAGTTGTTACAGTTTTTATATGGTATTGTTTAGGTATCAATTAGAGGGAAAAATTCTGCACATGTTTAGTAAAGGTAAATATTTTTACTGTGACTTTGCTTTATTTTTCTCTTTCTGTGTGTGGGGGGCATGTTTTTTTTTCCTGGGAAACATACCTTATAGGCAAATGTGTTGTCTTACTTATTTTTGTTGTTACTGAGACAAAATACTCAACAACCAAAGTTAAATGAGCAAAGGTTTAATTTTGGCTCCTTAGAGGTTTCAGTTCATAGTGGGCTGACTCTAAGGCAGAGTGGACTGACAGGGACCACACAGAGGAGAAACAGTTGAAGGCAGAAAGCAACAAGTAACAAATAGTGACTGAAGCTCTTCTTATGTCTGTTATATTTTATCCAGACTAAGGGTAGCACTCATACCCTTAATCCTACCATCATACTATAAATGAATCACAGCAACACATCCTTGATCCCAACATTACACAACCTAGATCTACTCACCTCCAAAAAGCTCCACTTACAACGTTATGAGACTTTGCGGGGATAGAGAGACACAAGCCACAACACTAAGTCTGAGCTATATCCCAGTCATCAACTATTTTTGACATACAGTTGACTGAATCTGTAAACACAAAGTTCATGGATGCATAGATTTAGGTGCATTACACTATTACTGTTTTGAACAGATGTGAAGTTAATTTCAATGTATTTATGCAGTTAAGAGAAGAATTTTTCCAGGATTTTTAGAAACGAGAGCTAACTTTATATTTGGAATATGCTGATCGTATTAACCAGTAGACTATTGTTCATGGGAAACAGAACTGAATGAAGAAACATACTTTGAAACAAAACTCTTTTGTAAAACTACATTAAGAGTATCTAATAATATCTTTAATTCTAGGGATCACAAATTTCCAGGACTGCTGGAGTGGATATTTAATTCCCAAACATAGCTGTTTTTTTTTTTCTTTTTAGGATAATGTCAGTTTAAAAAATTAAATGACTTAATCACCATTATTGTATTCATTTTTAATCAAGATTAAGGTTAGCAAGTAAGAGTGAAAATTTTTCAGAGTGAGTGGAACCATGGCAAAGACATCTGTACAGTAAAGATCATTTCCATGTTTTTCTCTAAGAGATTCTGGAGAAGAAGCAAAATAACCCTCTCGTTCTTAGAAAATAACAACTTCATGTCCCAGGGATGGACACAATGTGACTGATACCAGTCCTTTTGGACTGCATTAATTCAGACCATTAAAATGCTTAACTGACCTGAAGCTGTAGAGCCACAACCTACAGACTGATTCTTTGGTGACTGGAAAGACTCAGCCAGCACCTAATTACAGACAGCGATGTTTTCATTGAGTGGCTTGAGATGTTCCAGGCATAGATAAGTGGTCCACTGTTAAGCAGTTATTGAACATTTTTATCTGAATCCCCTTATTTTAAAGAATGTCTTCAGTTTATTTCCAACAAAGTCATACTTATTCATCAAAGAAGTTAAAAAATATATACATGCATCCATTTACAATCATTCTCACTATAAACATTTCCAGGTGCCTTACATTAATATCAGAAAACATAAAGCATACTTATATTCTAGATGATTTCACTACTGATCTGAATCCTGAAACTAAGAGTGGTTTTGAGAATGATATAGTGCAATAAACAAAAACATGGCATTTTTTCACTCAGCTTAGTAGTAGACGTTTATTGCTGGCTAATGAACTTCCAGATTTTTTGAGACACTCTTAGAGAAAAAGCATTATTACAATTCTTTGAGATCACAGATCTTAAAGATAAAAATTGATTTGCAAACTATGCTCTGTTTCCCTTTGATTATTAAATCCTGATGATACATTGTCCATAATAAACATTGCCTGTGTAGACTCTCTACAACATAATCTGAAGATCTCTCCTCGCAGCCATCAGCTGTGGAACAGTGGTCTGCCTATTGGACTCAGTGTCCAGTATGAAGAGCGTTACAGAAAAAGCAACAAGATGGTCATTAGTTGCCATCCATGTATTTCTCCCCTATTTCTTGTGATTTGGACATTTGGAAATATTACATTTTCTGAGACCTTATCACTAAAAACCTGAGGTGAAGAAAAGAACATGATCCTCCCTGTGGTACTAAACAAGTTTTTGTTTCATTGCATAGAATATTATCATGAAGAAAAAGATAGTCGTGACTCTTGTGTCACTGTACTTTGGGTTGAGCATTCTATTAATTTTCCAACAGCCACTTTCTCCAGTCTGAGTTATTCAAGGGCTAGCAATTTCCTCTCCTGTGCAGTGGATCCCATGGTACAATTACTGTGTTAGAAATTGTCATTTCTTTCTAAAAGAAATCAGAAATGTTTCAGATACATCTTTTCTACTCACTTTGGAGATGTGACCATGGTGGCTCATGTATTGAGGAGCAGTGAACACCAGATACATGACAGACACTTGCTCACTGTGACAATGCCGTTGTGTTCTGCTCGAGAACAACTCAACCTCAGGTCACTTCTGTATCAGCATACACACATGTCCCTAGCTCAAAAATCCCACTTACTGATTTTTAGACTTCAAGCAAGTCATCTGATATTTTTGAGACATAATTTCCTCATCATCTAATAAAAAAAGGATGGAACACACATTTCTTTGTGAATTCCATAGAGATATTTATGAACTAACTGTCTGTGGGAGACTGTAGTTCATAAGAAATTATATTGCTGATGATAAAAAAAATCAGTGGTGTTACTAGAAAGTTTTTATTCAGTGCTATAACCCACTTGCATTTAACATAGCTGCAACATCATATGGAGAACAAATAGTCTAAGTTGGTTGTTACTATGAGTTTCCTTTTCTCTCTGGCTAGCTAAACTCCCCAAAGTGCATCTATCAATATCAAGGGACTAGGTTTTGAACTAGAGGAAGTGATCCAAAAAGCAGTAAGAATGTAATGTTCAATTCTTCCAGCAAGTTTCTGTCCACACTAACAGGCTGCCTCTGCCCTTCCTGTGTCCACTCCATCACTTTCCAGAGATAAGTTTTGTGTTGTTCTTTGTGCACCTGTAAGTTGCACAATCTCTGTTTGGCATTGAAAATAATAGAAGCACACACTTGTGTAAATCCAAAGGGAGCCACTTACGTCACCACTGACCTTCAAGGCAGTCTCGCCACACTCCCAAGTCCATCCTCGGGATCTCAGTGCAGCCCAGGAGGTCCTGTGGGTATCACGCTCTTACAAAGACGTCTGCCTGGACTTGCTGAATATGCCACCGTTGTCACAAAGCACATGGCCCAGTGACACCTGCTTCAGCCGAGTGAGTTCTGCTGGGGTAAACACTCCAGGGTTTTCATACGAGAACCTGGTAGTCAACAAAGAAAGACACAGATCCTGGGTCACTGGCCTGAGAACTCAGCTGCCTTTCAAAGAGTCCTGGTGAACAAAGAACTCAGCCAAAAGGAAATATACGAAGAGATTGATTTCCAACCAAATGCAGTATACTTTTAATTCCCTCTAATATTTTTAAAATTCTGAAATCCTATACTTCATAAAGTGATTCAAAGTTTTGCAGAGTTCTCAAAAAAAAGCACATTTAAAAATTTTAATTTTATGAATTGGCCTTAGAAATTGTCTGAGGAATTTAGTATCATTTTTTTGCCTAAAAAGGAAATATAACTTTTATATTTAATGTACTAGTTGTCTATGTTTATCAGCTAGCTAGAAAAAGCACATTTAATCTTAAATGAAAGAGCAAAATTTTAAAATAGACTATTTTTTTAAAATTTTATTTAAGGAGAAAAGAAAAAAAAGCAGATAAAGGGTACAAGTTATACAGATTTGCAGAAAAAAAAATGAACAGTAGGAAATCACTAGTTAATGGATTACATATTGTCATCTTAGAAATAATTGTTCAAGTCACAAGATTAAAGCTTGTAGAGTGGACATTTCAACAATGATACTGCAAACAGTTCTGTTCAATGATCCAATAAAACTTTGTGATATCATTTTCTATCTTACACACTTAAATATACATGCGGTTATATAGTATACAGCACTTTCTTTTCCTCTCTTTTGTACAATGACTATTACACATTTTGGGTTTCATTGCTCCCATGGTTCTTATTACTTTTTTGGAAGAGAGTAAAACCAAATGTGATATAACAGAACAGAATCGGTCAAGTCAAAAGGGTGGACATAATAGATAATGTGAAAACATAATACAAGGTGATCAACAATGGTTACCATAATGCCTCCCGCTATCTCTAATAGAATTGCCTATATTGTTAGTTACAATACAATTGAACAAAACAGTAAAGAATAAAACCGACAAAACCAAAACATTGGAGACATTGTAGGTCTTCAAAAATAGATAAAAGTTGGCTGGGAATTTAAAATAGACTATTAAAGGGAGGCCTTGTGTTTATTCATTCAAAAAATATTTGAACACCATATGTCAGGCACTTTTTCCATTCCAGATATACCACACCAAATTTAAAAATGTAAATAAAAAGACTTGTTACCACAGGGATAGTGCTTTGGGCTCAATGTGTAACCTCAAATTTTATACGCTGAAGTGCTAAGCCTCAGACCACAGAAAGTAACTATTTGGAGATAGAATCATTAAAGAGGTAAGTAAGGTAAAATTAACTCATATGGGACCCTAAATCGGGATGACCAATTTCTTTAAAAAGAGGACGATTTGGACATAGACAGGCACAGAGAAAACAATCAGATAAAGACACAGAGACAAATGAGGCAACCTTGTCCACACTTGATCTTGGAGCCCTAACTTACAGGATTCTGAAAAAGTAAACTTCTGTGGTTTAAGTTTACTAGCCTGTGGTACTTTGATACAGCTTTATAAACTGGTACACATGAGAAAGACAACTCAGTCAAAATGCTGGAGCTTCCCCAAATTTGTTCAGTTCTCAACTACAGATGTATTTCAATTAATCCCAATTAAATACATTAACCTAATCATATGAGGCAAGAAATTCATCATGTTAAAATACTTTAAAAGGTTAATCTAATAAAATATACTATTAATATTTGTACAACAAAGGGAATAAAATATTTTGCTACTACCTTCATTATGCAACTCCTAAATGGAAGAGATTTCGAAGAAAAGTTCTAGGTAAAGAATAATCATAGTGTGAATCTTAAACACTAAATTCTAGGATGTGCTTCCAACTTTATACATCATCTCTGAATTAATACAAAAAATCGACTTACCAAATAAATTCACAGGAATCCTAGACCTTTTTTTTTTTTTTTTTTTTTTTTTTTTTTTTTTTTTGTCTTTTCTTTTTTATTGGTACCGGGGATCGAACTCACGACTGCCTACTTGCAAGGCAGGCGCTTATCACTGAGCTAAATCCCCGGCGTCGAGGAATCCTAGACCTTAAAATAAAACTTCACTAATAATCTGGAAGCTACAGTGCCTTAGAACACATTGAGTTCCAAGTGGCACAAGACCGTTTCATGCCAGCTTGGGTGTGTTTAGGTTTGAGTTTCTTAGTTTCCACAATTGGTTAATCTTGGAGCTGTAAAGAGGTTATTTGACTAATTTGCATTCTCAAGTTACCTGTCTCCTATAATTCAAGTTATTTACATAAACACTTTGGCTAACCGAAGAAATTTTAGAGAAGAGTCCCTAGTGACTTGGCATTAAGAAATGTCCTCACAGGATAATTTTATAAGGAGCCCAGCCATCAGATCTTTCTCCATGAAACTAGAAAAAGCCTCAGGCCACTGGCCACTATTTCCCTCTCCCTCCAGCATTATTAGTATGCTGAAGAGTGGGAACTGCTATTACACACATTGTACAGATGAAGGAACCTGAATAGAGTAAAATCCTTCCAAGAGTCGAATAGCCGTGAATAGTGATACACAGATGCAATGTCGGAGTAATGAGTTTATCACGTTTGAGACCCATGACCTTCTAAAACATTCTTCTTCTTACAACGACTTACAATAATAAATGTTATCTGATATTATCAGTGTTCAGAAAAGTTCAACAAATAAATTCTGATATTGATTGTACTTAAACCTTAAGTTATAGAAAACACAGAATCACACTATAGTAACATTAAGTTATAGAAAACACAGAATTACACTATAATGTTATTATACCTATACATTTGAAAGCAAAACACCAATTTTATTTTCTTTGATAAGTATAGCAGTTAATCCTTCACCCATCTCCATCTCGAGGCACTGAAACTGAGTCACAAGCAGGCACTTAAGTTTGGGTCCCACTCTTGTACCAGGGATTAGGTCTTCAACCATCAGTGTGGGCCATAAATCGATGTCTGTGGGTATGGCGTACAGCCTGGGAAAAAGACAGACAGCATACGCTATAGAGAGGCAGTGGTAGTGACACCGAGAACATGCCTCATAGCAATTCCTCATTTCACCTTAGCCACACAAAATGAAGAAGAAGGTACCATTATTATCCCCACTTTACAGGAAAAAGCACTAAGGAGAAAGGAACATTTCAGGAGCCAGCAAAGGGCAGGACGCACAGCAATAACCTCCGCAGGAGCACTGAACACTAAAACCAGGCGTTGTAGTCGGGGTGCAGAGAGAACAATTGCATACAGGACACAGACTTTATAATGTTATATACAGCGGTCATCCAGAGTGAAATACAAGAAAGGGCAGGAAATATGTCCGCCACACTAAAGACCCTGAATATTCAGCCAAGGGCCTGGATCCAACAGCAACGTTCTGCATGAGTCCGGGTGCGGACCTAGAGCCCATGACAGGGCCTCCCATGTGTCCTGCTGGAGGTCTAGAGCCCTTGACAAGCACTCATGCCAGTTTGTTTTACACATCTGCACTGGGAAGCCCCAAAGGTCAGTGGTGGAAGCTACAAAGTCTATGCCAGCAGGGTGAAGGATCTGTACCAGTAGTTTGAGAGTTCTACACTGAAGCCAAAAAGTAAGGCTCAAAATAAGAACCACAGGTGCCCTGAAGAGTACCACAGCCATCCTCAGCAACAGTGAGGTCCAATGATGAGAACAGTTGAGTACATGCCAGGAAGCCAGCGTGACAAGCTTCTCCTGGAGATTGAACAGCACACATCTTTCCCTCCAGAGCCAGAAAGTGATGCTCAACATAAGAATCAGAGCTCTCCCAAAGTGAACCGCAGCCACTCTCAGAGACAAGGTCTCATGCTCCTCTGATGATAAAGGACAAATTCATATCTGGGAAGCCAGCCATGACAAGTTCCTCCAGGAGAACCAACGGCTCCAAACAGCAACACTTAGGAAAACTCACAGTGCCCACTCTTCATCCCCATGGCTCCATTTATGCTGGAAACTTTCCTCAGTTGGCCCATCTACACTTGGCACCACGCTGGTATTAAACTGACCACCAGTTTTTAATGCATAACACCAGGCAACATCTGTTGTCCTGTTCTTTACAATTATCCTGTAATGAGTGGGGTATAACTATATTTAAATATAGGTGTGCCTGTGATTCAGGTTTTTAATTAGATTTGGATTTATTAGTTTTATATTTGGCTAATCTTGTAGCAATAAAGAGGTTACATGATTAATTTGCCAGCTGACTCCTACAATCTCATAAATTCAATTCAGAACCATGTAGAAAATAAACATAGTAGGTACTGAAATGTTCCCATTTCAATGTATATCATAGACCAAACAAATTTGTAGATAATACAACAGTATTAGATAAATTCACTTGCTGAATCTGGAATCTCAAGTACTATTTTAAAACTAAATAAATAAATAAAATATGTAAATAAAATGGTTATGATCAACCACACAGGCTTAGATATACCAGTAATGTAAAGAAAAAGATATGACTAATAGCTAACATCCAAAATTCATACCCATATGCATGTCTTCAATTTTTCTAGACAGTACCAAAGTTCTACCCAAAATGTATGAAAGGTTCATATTCCAAGGTGAAACATTCAGGAATTTTCTCTGCTGTGTTTCCTATCAAAGTGAGTCTCATAGCCAGCGGCCATTTTAAGTTAATTCACTTTTCAGTCATTTTGTTTGTTTGTTTGTTTGTTGGTTGGTTTGTTTAAAGTTCACCCCACCTCCTCTTCTTTCACTTGTTTCTACTTCTTCTTTCTAAACCTTCTAATTTTTCTAGTTTTTAAAATTCTTCTTCTTCCTCTGTTTCTTCTTCATCTTTTTTGTCATTATCTGTTCGTCTTGTTTCATTTCTTTCTCATACATTCGACGATAGGTTGCATTTTTACGTTTTAAACACTCACCTGAATATTCAAAGTTGCTAATTCACATTAATGCAGAATTATTGCTTCTAAATTTTTCAGATTATCTGGAAGATGTTGTTAATTTGCATTTTTTGTTACATACTTTT